AAATACAGTGTCTAAGAAATATAGCAGCTTTAATGTAAAGAAAAAAATATATGAAATAACTAACGATATAATTGGTAGAAATAGTTTTGACACAGTATTTGAATATTTTGGAATAATTGATAGCAGATTCTTCATTGTTTGGCAAGAGTGTTCTTAGAATGAAATCTTGCTTTGCTTCTAGCGTGGCTTTAGTGTACTACCAGATACACTACTGAAAGTGTATTTTTAAAAATCCAATTCCATGTTAAGTAACAGTGACAGTAGTCATCCCAATTTCAGAAATCATGACCACTGTTCTATTTTTACTTAAATCCAGTACAAATCAGCATCTACAGTGTGATTCACATGCTTTAGGCAAATTTCATAATCTCTAGAACAAAGTGATTCCTGGATTTAATATTGAATTCAGTTTCCTAAAGTATGATTTTTAAAAAGCACTTAAATGGCTTGCTAAGGACTAATTAGTAATAAACTTTATTTGGAACTGAATTCTATAATAAATATTCTTATTTATCAATACAGTGGAAGATATATTTCCTGTATTATAAAGGCCCACTGTATTCACTTTATACCCTACTTACTTTCAAACATTTATGTTAATTCTTCAGGGAATGTAGTGTTCCTTTTTTCTCCCTGTCTCTGTCCTATAGTACTCAGCATGATGTTAATATATTACTAGAAATCCCTAATTTGCAAAGAGATTTTGTTTTAAATGTTTAGTTCTAAAGTGATTGGCATTTTTGCCAAAGAAGTCATTTTATAAACAATAGCCTGAAGTCCAACAACAACAAAAAGCCAAACTAACATTTACTAGAGTATCTATATTATACTCACAGTATATATATAATATAAATTATGCTACTAGTAAATGTAGTTTCTTCATTTCACTTAAGGTGCTGTTACTGCCATGGAGTAGTAGAGGAAAGAGAAGACTATTTTAGCAAATCAATGGGTTTGAGTACAGACAGCCATGAAAAGTAGACATAATCTTAGGGAGAAGTAATCAATCAGTTCTTTAATTTGGCAGACTGAGCACCCACTATGTGCCAGCCTCCTTAGATCCAGGTTGCCTGTCCTCTTGAAACTTAACATTTTAAGGAGTATTATAGACAGAAATGGGTAAGATTACATAGGGAAGAAGTACAACGAGGAAGAGGCCATCATTAAGTTGACCTTCCTTCAAAACATCCAATTTTTCCCTCAACATTTTGTGAAATTTTTTCCTTTACTTTCTTGTATGGCCTTAAATGCCATGTTTAGAGATTAATTCGTATTAATAATCTTAGGCTTGTATTTTTGATCATATTATAAAACCAGTATCCATTCATTCTGATTTAGTCTGCTTGTCTTTCTTTTAACTTTCAGCTGAGATTAAATATAATGAGGTATTTACCAAATATGGCAAATTCCAATTTACCCATTTTGGGAGCATGAAATCTTTTCACAGGGAGAAGTATGTGAAAAGGCTTAGTGGGCTGCATTTCAGGGGGTTCTAGAGATAAACTTCCTTGGAAAATCCTTGATTTAGTAAAGCAATAATTAAGAGTTCAGTTAAGTTTATATTTTATAAAACAGCTTTGAGTAAAAAAGAAAGAAAGAAAGAAAGAGAAAAGCCACTTAGAATACCCAGAACATTTCCAGCAAAGTTGTCTGTTTTATATAAATAATCTTCATATGTTCAACTGTGTTATTCAGATCTTAGTTCAAATGCACTTTTTTAGGAGAGAACTTCCTTACTGAAAGTAGCTTCCTTCAGTCCCTTTTTGTGGTTTTACCCTGTTTCAGTTTTCTTCTGTAGGACTTAGGGCTATATGAATTACCTTAACTTGTTTGTATGCTTACGATCTGGCTTCCCTACTAGAAAGAAAGCTTCCTGGGGGCAGGGACCTTGTCTTGTCTTTTCTCTGTCGTATTCCCAGCAGCCAGAATCATACCTGGCACATAGGAAGCACTAAATAAGTATTTGCTGAGTGACTGAATAAATACTGGAGGTACAAAGGTATGTCAGACACAGTCCTTTTTGGTTCAAAATGTAAAGTCTAGTGGATAGTACAGAACACCAGTTAGGTAGCTAAATAGGATGAGAAGTATTATGCTGGGGAAACACAGAGGCACAAGTGAGCTCCAGGTGATGAGCTGATTTACTGGTCTGTTGTAATGAAGTCATACTGCTTTCACTTGACATATTACATTTTACTTCCTTTCTTATGTTTCCAAAATTTATATACTTACATATAGCTATAGACGTTCCTATTCAGTCCACACTGAATTTTAAAGAAATTAGAATTTAATTAAGCAATCTCTAAATGAAGGTTGAAAATTTCTTTTCTTATGTGCCATATAAATCTGAGAAAAACTACAGTCTTGTGGAACAGTATTGATTTCTTTACGTTAAATTAGGTTTATGAATAATATATTTTTAGAGACAAATGTATTTATTAACTTAGGATGGAAAAAAACTATGTTATTTTAAATATACTGAAATGTATTTGAATTCCTAACATGAAGTGTGCATCTAATGCAGGTTAGATGGTCAGTTTGAGAAGGACCTGGTTTAATTGTTTATTCTTTAGCATTCCCTAGAGTAATTCTCATTTATTTCAGTTATATATATATTCTTTGTATAGTAAGTAGTTAAGTAGCTAGTTAATGAGATGTGAGTATTCTGAAAATTCGTACCAGTCTGTTAATTACATCTTGATAAGACTATCATTATTTTTTTGCAATGCTTTAAGCCGTCATTTAGGCACGTTAACTGGATGAAGTTGTGGTATCAATATTATAAGATCATAGTCTCTAAGAAATGGAAGAGGGTTTTAGAATCGTTCAGCTTCTTATAATCGAGGGTCATCTCTTAATCATTTCTGTGTCTCTAATTTATATTATAGTGTGTCGCATTTAGTACTTACCTAATACATATTTGTTAAAATAATATCTGAGTTAATGTGTATCATCTGTATCTTTCACTTTAAAGCACAGACTCTCAAAGATTAAATGGCTGTACAGTCAGGTCACTGGCTAATAGCAGAAGTAGGAGTAAGAAGCCCAGATTCCTTAACTCTAGTGTTCTTGTCATAGTACATTGCTACATACTAGGGATTTTTTTCTTTATTCATAGGTATAAAAATAATGACAAAAAAGAAAAATGATATATGCATAACAGACACATAAATAGGATGTTATGTAGGTTAATACTGTATGATTTTTTTTGAGTGCTCTGTTTTGATTGTGTATTTTTAACTTTAGGAGTCTGTGGTGTTATTGTAACCTAAAAGATTTATAATTAAGTCCTAAATGTTTTATATGTAAATGTAAGAATGAAAATGTATAAATAAAAAAGCACATATACTTGTTTAATCATAAAACATTTAAGGGAACAGACCAGTTTCTTCATTTAATGAAATACATTTCCCTTTATGATTCTAGGTTAGAGTCCACCCTAGCCATGCCGTTGTGTGAGCTTTGAAAGGTAGAAGAGTTACGGAAACCATTATTGTCGAGCAGAGTTGTTGGTAGGCGGATGGACATATGTGAAAGTCTTGGTGGTTTCTGGGTTAAACTTGTATTAATTGACCACCGTAATGCTGTAGGCAGCTCAGATAATTGGTGGCAAATTGCCTAAGAATCCTGGGATCATACCACCTTCTTAATGACCGTTTTGAGAACTTGTGTCTCTGGTTCCCCAGGCCAAGAACAGCATTAACTTCTCTGGCCTTCATTCCTTCATTGGTTCAACAGTTGTGTAGTTTTGATTTCTATATTAAAACCCTCAATACCTGGAAAACCTAGAGTGACTTTTGCTTTTGTTAATGAACCTAACTGATGCATTGGCGGACTGCATTCCAGATATATGGGAAAGGAGTTTAGGGACCCAAAAGAGACCCATTTAGAGGAAAATGATGATGTTGCTGGGTTGTGTCATTCCACGCGTATCCTTTCTCTCTTTGGGTTAAAAAAAAATCTAAGAAATTCTCAACTGAGCTGTCTAGTCTTGGTCATCTTTAACTTCAACTGACCACACTATTTCATGTGTCCTGGCAAAATCGTTTTAACAGTTTAAACCTTTTCTGTCATCTTCAGGATTCTAGTCCCATTGCTTTTCATGGCTAATGAGGACAGTATGACTATTTTGATGACTAAGAGAACTATGTGTGATTGCAGGGTCTACCAGGTTGGAAGGGTGTTAGAGGTACAGGTTGAAATCTTAGTATACACTCTCTTCCTCTGAGACTGTAAGGAAATATTAGTGATCAGATGTGAAGACAGAGGAGTGTAATGGAGCTGGGTTTACTCTTAATGAATATGGAATAAAAACAGCAGATCTTTCTGACTTCTAGAAAGACTTTTTTTTGAAATGAATAAATTGTTATTGTCAGTATTTATTTGTTGCTTATCTCAGGTTAGAGCAGTAAAGAAGGGTTGGAGATACAATGATAAGACGAAGATTTAGATGAACAAATACTAGGAGTGATCTAGGTAGAAGATGAATGAAAAATAATTTTTAAGAGCCAACTCTTAGTTTTAGTTGGAAGCATTCAATTCTTGAGCTGAATCAGTTTGGCTTCATTATGTTTTCAAGTAGCTATGAAATCAAGGTCTTAGGAATAGAGAGAAAAGAAGGTGGAATTTTTCTTAGCTTCTGAATAACAGTTGGGAGATAGCTTATGTGTATTGAACCAAGCAAAGAAATTAGAATAAAGGCTATTTTGCAGCAGCAGAATGTGATGTTGCTTGTCTAATTGCAGGGTGTAAGTATATCCCATATGTAGTGTATCAGGCATTTAAGAACTATATTAAAAGTACCTTATAAATTTCCTATTTGAACTGAATAAAGTGAATATTAATTAAAGTTTTGTTATGGCGTAACTTTAAAATGAAATTAAAGAAAAAAGAAGCAAAAGAACTATTTAAATTTATCCATCCACCCACCAGTGAATCATTAAAATGTGAAATTGCTTGAATGCTGCTCCTTTCATCATTCTTTTTCTTTGATTACTTAGGAAAAGAAGTCCATCGGTGTCCAGAGATCAGAACAGAAGATACGACCAAAGGGAAGAAAGAGAGGAGTATCCGCAGTATGCTACTCCGGACAGCACAATGCCTAGATCTCCATCAGATTATGCTGATAGGAGGTCTCAACGTGAACCTCAGTTTTATGAAGAGCCTGATCATATAAATTACAGGGACTCCAACAGGAGAAGTCATCGGCATTCCAAAGAATATGTTGTAGATGATGAGGATGTGGAGAGCAGGGATGAATATGAGAGACAAAGGAGAGAGGAGGAATACCAGGCACGCTACCGAAGTGACCCGAATTTGGCCCGTTATCCAGTAAAGCCACAGCCCTATGAAGAACAAATGCGTATTCATGCTGAAGTGTCACGAGCCAGGCATGAGAGAAGGCACAGTGATGTCTCTTTGGCAAATGCTGAACTGGAAGACTCCAGGATTTCTATGCTAAGGATGGAACGACCATCAAGGCAAAGATCTATATCTGAACGTAGAGCTGCCATGGAAAGTCAGCGCTCTTATTCAATGGAAAGAACTCGAGAGGCTCAGGGACCAAGTTCTTATCCACAAAGGACCACAAACCATAGTCCTCCTACCCCCCGGAGGAGTCCAATACCCATTGATAGACCAGACATGAGACGTACTGACTCACTAAGGAAACAACACCACTTAGATCCTAGCTCTGCTGTAAGGAAAACAAAACGGGAAAAAATGGAAACAATGTTAAGGAATGATTCTCTCAGTTCTGACCAGTCAGAGTCAGTGAGACCTCCACCACCAAAGCCTCATAAATCAAAGAAAGGAGGTAAAATGCGCCAGGTTTCATTGAGCAGTTCAGAGGAGGAATTAGCTTCAACACCTGAATATACAAGTTGCGATGATGTTGAGATTGAAAGTGAGAGTGTAAGTGAAAAAGGTAAGCACTGTATTCTAATCACACATTTCCCTGTAATTGGTTAGATAATGGTTTGCTTTTTAGGTTGTATTTCTGACTGAATATTTAGTAGTTAGATATTACTACCTTTATTTTTAAGTTTTTTAATGGTGCTGGTTATTTGAAGAAAATTTCAAGTTATAAAAAGTATTTTCTGTAATTTATGTAGAAAAAATATTGATTTTTTTAAAAAATTGTCTTTTTGCTTTGTTTCTGAAAATTTTCTTGCAGCGCTTGATGGCATATTTCAAAATACCTATTAGCTGTAGTTGTAAAATAACATTTTTTGTGCTTTCTTTCAAAAGGAGCAATATGTTTACTATAGAACATCTGAAAAATTGCTCAGTGTAAAAGAATGAAATGCAAACTATCCACAGTCCTTTCCCCCAAATTTAACCATTGCTAACATTTTGTTGTATTTTCTTCCTGTTGTCTGATGCATGTGTATTTTACATACTTACAAAGTTGGTATCATACTATATAATTTTGTTTTCTGATTATTTCCAGTTGATGTCATATCATTAGCTTTTCTCTGAGCCTTTAGACGTTCTTCAGAAATGTTTTAAATGGCTGCACTACTGTTTTATCATAAGGATGTACCACAAACTAACTATTCATTTATTTGGGGTCATTGCAGTTGCTTCCAGTTGCTACTGTAAATGATATTATAATGGTTCTCTTTATACACAATTTTTTGCCTGTATCTCTGAGTATTTCACAAATACATATTCATGCTTTGATTCTTTTAAGTTTTTAATTCAGATTACCAACCTGCTCTCCAGAAAGATGGTAATACTCCATTCTCCTGTCAGATGTGCTTGAGTTTTCAGTCTTGATGCACCAAATTTTTGCTGGTTGAATAGACCACCAAAAAATGCTTTCTCGCTGTTGTTTTAATTTGAATTTGATTGTGAAGATAAATGTTATATATGTTTACTGGTGTTTGATATATTCTTCTATGAATTGTCTCTTCATTCCTTTTATTTCTTCTGCTCGTGGTCCTATTGAGTATTAATTAGTTTTACTGTAATTGATTTATAAGATATTTTTATATGGTTAGAATTTTACCCATTTAATTGTCATCTGTTCCAAATGTATTTCCCATTTTGATGTTTAGGTACTAATTTTCTTTGGTCATTTGGAAATACTGAATTTAATATAGTTAAGTCTTTGCTTATTTGGTGATTTTTTTCCCATTCCTTTTAACCATAGAAACTTTTTGTTATCCTCAAATCAGTTAAATATTTAACTGTATATTTTCTCATGTTTTTATTATTTATTTCTTTAACCTTTAACTTTTTAATCTTTCTATAATTTATTTTGGTGTGTGTCAAAATATATAGGATAATATCTAACATGAATCCCTTGTACCAACCTGTTCCCCCCTGCAATACACACAGTTTTCTGACACCATTTGATCAGTAATCAATTTCTTCATAAGAATCAATAGGAATCAGTAAAGGAATTCAAGAAGGCAGCTAGATATGAAATTAATTTAGAAATTAATACAGAATTCTTTTTTACTGTACCAAAATAATTAGTTAGAAAACACAGATGAAAGCAATTCCCATTCTGATCAAAAAACAGAAAATGTGATTTTAAAATAACTAATAAGAAATGAGGGAGGCCTCCATGAAGAAAGCTATGAGACTTCACTGAGTAACATAAAGGAAGTGAGTAGAGATTCATTTTATATTCCAAATTGAGAGGGCTAAATACTGTAAAGATACATGTTCTTTCTAAACAATTTTTTGGGGTTAATAACATTCTGTCACAGACCTAATTGACTTCTTGGAGAATCATATTTCTAAAGTCAATCTACAGTTGTAGGGGAGAAAAACTTAGCTCTTTCTTTCTTTTCTTTTTTATTGACAGATTGTCAGTTTACAATGTTGTGTTAATTCCTGGTGTACAGCATAGTGATTTAGTTATACATATATATATATATATATTCCTTTTTGTATTCTTTTTCATTATAGCCTCTTATAAGGTTTTGAATATAATTCCCTTTTGACTTTTTTTTTCCTCTATGCATCTTAGTTTCCCTGTCTGGGGCCCTGTAAATTAGATTGACAAAAAGATAGATTAACAAGATAAAAACAAACAAGTTTATTATCATGTGCATTGGGTATACATGTGCACAGTCAGCTATGAGCAACTCAAATGAGTGGGTAGGATTTAGAATCTTAACAGAAGAACAGTGCATTTTTAGAGAGATGACAAAACAAAGGCAACGGGCAACGGATTTGAGTTTCTAAGACTGCAAATTATGGGAAGGTAAATTTATCGGGTATCTAATGGAAGATAAGAGCTAGCTAGTGAAGTTTGTTGTGCACACTCCTCTGGAACTATTTCTGGGCTGATAAGGAGTAATTAAATTTTGTCCTTTCTGGTAGAGTGTGCGTAGGGGACACCTTTGCAAATTTATGTCCATCTTTTAGATAAATATGGGGAAGGTAGGGAGCATTCCCTGCATCTGCTTCTTCTCAGTTGCCTTCAGCTCAAAATAATCCTTATGCAAAGTTGGCATATTACAATAAATAAATGATAAAAACATAGAAAGCACTACAAACCAAGGCGGAAGAGATAAGTTATTCAACAAATGTGCTTGAGGAAAATGAATGTACAGTAAAAATTAGAACCTCATTTCATACAAGTTGCATTTAAATTATAAATAATAAGAAAATTATGTTTATTAAGATATCAAAGTCTATAAAGAGAAACTGTAGATCTTAATCTTATCATGGATCATATAGAAAATTTATTCCCAGAAGCTGTAATACTTCCTTAAGTATATTTAATAATCTTTAGTTTGGTCATTTTCCATATTTGCCTGAATATATCTATCATAATACATAAGAAAGAAATCGTTTTGTTATCTATAGTGTTTTGGTTTAGATTCTGTTATCCTTTGCTAAAGCAATGCCTTTACTTTTACCACATAAAGATGTAAAAAACAAAACAACTGCATCATCCAGGGCTTGAAAGCTTTTTATATGTAGTATTCTTCTAAGAGCTTATACTTCGTTTCAGGGTTTTGAAGTTACGTTATAAAAATCTCACATAAATAAAAAGCTATATATGAGTTAAAAATCCCAGGTAATGCTATTTAAAAATGGAAAGAAACTACACATTTACATCTGTCTTCTCCCCTAACTTGAACTCCTAGTAGATACCGTTAGAGACAGTCCTCCTTCTCATCTACCTAATAATTTATTTCACAGAATGTGGCTTCTGCCATATTATATCAGTCGTAATTTAATTCAGTTTTGGAGAAGGACATCTAAATAAAGTAACCTTTTCCTGTTTGATATTACCCACAATGTGAGGAGAAGTTGTAGCTGTTAAGAAACTGGAATAATATGGGAAAGAGATTAAATTGTGTCATATCATCATTAGAGTAGCATTTTTGATTATTTGTGGGAAAAATGTCAATCTGATTTGAGAATAAGCTACTTTTAAAGCTATCTAACATTGAGATTCATATTCATCCTTAATAGTTAACTAATGTTTGAAAATTTTTCCTAATAATTAAAATAGTTTTGTTAGTGGCATTTTTTCCTATGTGATTATATGTAGATACATCATTCTGATGAGGATCAACCAACTTTTAAAAGATAGTCCCTTTGCTTTATTATCCCCTAGGCTAAATAACTCCAAAGAATGTACTTTACAACTGAGATATATTTTTCATTGTCTTACTTTTCTGTCCCTTTTCATTCTTGTGCACCTTTCCAAAATATGCAGAGTAAATTTGGATTAAGTAATTTAAGCATTAACCAACACTGCATAGATAGCACCAAGCAACATTACCACTGCAGAAGGGTTCTATGCAGGCTCTTGTATGTCATATTATAACTTCTACTACAAGGCAGGCTTTTTCCTGGTCTTTAAATAATAAGAATTCTGTTGATAATCCACACAGCAAGTTTATAGTTTATTTAAAGTTTTTTTATTTCTCTGCTTTCCTGTTGGCTAACTTTGTGCTGCTGTTTAATCTTCAGCTTTATTGGTGCTTTGGTGACTTTAGCTTTTCTCTTATTCATTTGTCACTTTGGATAGATGTCATTATTTTAATATACAGAATTTCACCCAAATTTAGAGTAGATGTCATTTCACTCACTAGGTTCTTTCAGTGATGCTGATAACTACAGTCTGTGAGTGACCAAACCATTATTTGTGTAACAATAATAGGGCGGTTTTATGGAAAAAAGCATGAGTTTTAGAGTTAAAGAGGAGCTCAAATCCTGGCTGGATCATTCACTAACTGCATGATCTTGTCCTGTGTATTTAACCACTGCAGGTCTGCTTCCTTACCTATAAATACAATGTATGTCCATTGTTTGGCAGTTGTAGGGATATTTATCTATATATCTCAGTCTAACCATTTATCTATCTATCATCAATAGATAATATATATAAATATTTTAATATATAAATTTATATAATATACAAACAGTAAGTATTAACTTACTTACTTTTTAGATTATTACTTAATTTTTAGATACTTACTTAATTTTTAGATTATTTATTGTTCTATGATAGTCAAAGATAGTGGATTGTGGACATTTA